TTGCCCAGACATTGAGGTCCACCTCCGAGGACCTTCTGGCGGTTCCCTCACTGTGAGAAGCGAGGCTACAGGGAACCAGGCAGAGGGTCTTCTTGGCAGTGGCACCCTCCCTGTGGAACATCCTCCCATCAGATGTCAAGGAGTTAAACAACTATCTGACTTTTAGAAGACAACAGAAGGCAATGCTGTTTAGGGAAGTTTTTAATGTTTGATCTTTTATCGTGTTTTTAATATTCTATTGTGAGCTGCCCAGAGTGGCTGGGGAAACCCCCCACTCAGCCAGATGGGTGGGGTATAAATCTTTATTTATCATCATCATCATCATCATCATCATCTACAGTTGCAATCAAAATTATTCAACCCCCCGATTGCAAATCAGGTTTATTATCAAAATTTACAGACTTTCAGCTGTTTGAAATGAGCAAATCAAACAAAAGCAATTGATATAGCTCAACACGACGGATGCTTCAAGTGGTGAAATTAAGCACTTCGGAGTGTGACGCACGTTGCCCATCAATATGTCCTTTCTATTGTGCATTCATGATGTTTTGCACTCATTGTGGTATCTGAGTGGTTATACGTGATCCAAACACAGGTGCTGCCCCCTCCAACATAAATCCTGGCTACATACATGCTCCTGGAAAGGTCTCAAGGCAGACACACCACTTTGTTTCCAACCAGTGCATGTCCTGTAGCTCCCTGCTGAAATCCTGTAACTTTTCACATCACAAATATTCCAATGTTTATTTTTGTCTGCTTTCTTTGTGCTGCAGTGCAGGAGCACCAGATGGCAATAATGTAATATCATTCAGGAAGTATAGCAGAACAACTAATAAAGTGAATTTATGTGTAGGTAGTCCAGCATAAATCCACCACTAATAAACTATTGTTGTATCAAAGGCATGTTGCAGAATATATCTGCAAAAAAACAACAAAACAAAATGGAAAACCCACCAGTCTAGAGGAGCCACAGTCCTTTCCCATTGGGTAAATGTCTCCTGTTTCCCAACTTAACCCATAGCTTCCTGTGCCCCTCTCCTTGGTTTGCTTGTTGAATTGGGAGATTAACAGGCTCTTCTTTTCCCATTCCAATCTGCTCTCTTTTTACCCCAATACCACTCCTCAGGGATATTATTTGCCTACATAAATCCATAAGTGCCTGTTTCTGAACACGGTGTGGTTTCAATGTTAAAAGGAGCTCTAAACACAGAAGCCAGGATACATGCAAGAATAGCTGACTTGCGTACAAATGGGGCACTTCTGAGCATTGAACTCAAAATCCCACCAGCACCAGGGAATGGTCAGGTATGGTAGGATTTTCAGCTCAACCACACCTTGAGGGCCTCTAGCCCTGGTCTAATTCACATGGTCTTGCAATATGCGATTGTTTGACTCAACTGGGATGAGTAGCAATCACCTTCAAGTGATCACCTGTGTGGCAGATGGCCCTGGCTCCTCCTGAGGAACATAGAACATTTCCCTGTACCATGTATGACCCAGATTTCAGATAGAAGTCTTAGATCTAACTGGAGATTCCTTCTTTTCTTTTGTCTCCTGATGTCCATTGATTAATGGAGATTATGGGCATCTGGAAACAGGGAAGTACAGTGGTACCTCGGGTTACATATGCTCCAGGTTACATACGCTTCAGGTTACAGACTCTGCCAACCCAGAAATAGTGCTTCAGGTTAAGAACTTTGCTTCAGGATGAGAACAGAAATCTTACTCTTGTGGCACGGCGGCAGCAGGAAACCCCATTAGCTAAAGTGGTGATTCAGGTTAAGAACAGTTTCAGGTTAAGTACGGACCTCTGGAACGAATTAAGTACTTAACCCGAGGTACCACTGTATCTGTTTTGACACTGTATAAATCTACTATGAGTCTTATTAGGATATGCCCATCTAGAAATAAATCCATGCACAGTTTGTTGTCGTTTTAAATACAGCTACTCTCTTAAATAGGGGTGGCGCTGTGGGTAAAAGCCTCAGCGCCTAGGGCTTGCCGATCGAAAGGTCGGCGGTTCGAATCCCCGCGGCGGAGTGCACTCCCGTTGCTCGGTCCCAGAGCCTGCCAACCTAGCAGTTCGAAAGCACCCCCGGGTGCAAGTAGATAAATAGGGACCGCTTACTAGCGGGAAGGTAAACGGCGTTTCCGTGTGCGGCTCTGGCTCGCCAGATGCAAGTGTCTCTGGACAGCGCTGGCCCCCGGCCTCTTGAGTGAGATGGGCACACAACCCTAGAGTCTGTCAAGACTAGCCCGTACGGGCAGGGGTACCTTTACCTTTACCTTTACTCTCTTAAATCCACAAAGAAGCTCACCTGTCTGTCTGTCTTTCAGGGCCGATTTGCACATTTCTATTCTTGCAGAATGAAATGGTACATAGCGATCTTGGGGAGAGGCCACCAGGACAACATTTTTGAAATACTGGAGACCTGTAAAAAGAAGAAAGGAAAAAGGAAACAAGTGTGTGCATTAGAACAGCCTTCCTTAGATGAAATGCATGCTGGGTGGTGGAGCAAATTCTATCCACCATACCATACAAAGAAAAAAAAGTAAGTTTCATGGTAAGTTCTGGCACTGCCCTCTTTTTTCTTTTTCTTTTTTCTTTCCTTTTTTTTAAATAATAGCACTGAGTAGCAGTGATATGGTTGAGGAGATTGTGTGGAATCTGAAGGGCCAGACAGAGAGGTCTAAAGGGTCTGCATTTGGTCTAAACCACTGAGCCTCTTAGGCTTGCCGATCAGAAGGTTGGCAGTTCGAATCTGTGCAACGGGATGAGCTCCTGTTGCTCTGTCCCACCTCCTGCCAACCTAGCAGTTTGAAAGCACGCCAGTGCAAGTAGATAAATAGGTACCACTGTGGTGGGAAGGTAAATGTGTGCTCTGCTTTCCATCACAGTGTCCTGTTGTGCCAGAAGCGGTTCAGTCCTGCTGACCACATGACCCGGAAAGCTGTCTGTGGACAAACGCCGGCTGCCTCAGCCTGAAAGCGAGATGAGCGCCGCAACCCCATAGTCACCTTTGACTGGACTTAACCGTCCAGGGGTCCTTTACCTCTTTTTTACAGCATAGTAGCAGCCAGGGATGCCAACTTGAATAAAACATGGAGGAGCAGGTAAGCTCCAGCCCACATAATTGATCACAAGCCACAGCACACACACACCATCTGAATGGCAAAGCCTAGCAACTTTGGGCACCCCCACCTCCCTAAAATATTATATTGGTGGGGGGGCAAAGGTACCTCGACCCCTAGCATTTGGCTCCTATGGTAGCAGCCAAAGAGGAAACCACTCTCTGTGAGATGGCCGTTTCCCCAAGTCAACTGGATTTCAGACAAGCATATGAAGATACCACCACTTGTTAGAACAGAGGCTTTGATTTTAACTCACCCACCTGTTTTTTGGCTGAGCTGGTAGAGGAAACATTTCCGCAGATCTGCGTTGTCCCTGAAGGTCAGCTGCAAAAGTGACCCGGATTTTTTCAGCTTCTGCATGAGCCACAAGCCTAGAAAAAGCAATGGTGATTTGTGGGTTTCCAAGAGCACTTGCGTGGGGTAAAGTCCAGCAAATCAACTGGGGGAAGATCAATTCTGCATTAAACCCCAAAGCAGCTAGTTCCAAGGGAGTGTGAGAACTACTTGGGGAAGCTGAATGGTCTGAGTCATTCAAAACTGAAGAAGTGTGCATGCACACGAGAGCTTATATGCAGTACAAACTTAGATGGTCTCTAAGGTGCGCTCCTGTTGCTCGGTCCCAGCGCCTGCCAACCTAGCAGTTCGAAAGCACCCCCCGGGTGCGAGTAGATAAATAGGGACCACTTACCAGCGGGAAGGTAAACAGCGTTCCGTGTGCTGCGCTGGCTCGCCAGATGCAGCTTGTCACGCTGGCCACGTGACCCGGAAGTGTCTCCGGACAGTGCTGGCCCCCGGCCTCTTAAGTGAGATGGGCGCACACCCTAGAGTCTGTCAAGACTGGCCCGTACGGGCAGGGGTACCTTTACCTTTTTAAGGTGCTACTGGACAGTTTTAAAGTTTTAATTTATTTATTCAAAACCAAAATGGTCATCTGAAAGTAACGTGATAGTAAGGGGCCTGGATAGTTGCTGGCTGGCTGGTAGGCAAAGGGGCTTTTCAGGGCTTGTGTACTGAGAATTGTAACATGATGGGAGAGGTTTTTAGACAACCTCTAAAAGTAGGTTAGGCCTATCTCCAGGTGTCTTGGACTACAGTTTCCATCACCCTCAACCAACTGGCCATGCTGCCATGGACTAATGGGAATCCAGCAACATCTGGAGGGCCACAACTTCCTAGCCTTGGTTTATTAGCAATGGACAAGCAAAGTCCACATGTTTATAAAGCATGTTCTTGGTTCATTTTGTGCATTTGGTGAGGTTGGTTATTCTCTCTCTCTCTCTCTCTCTCTCTCTGTGTGTGTGTGTGTGTGTGAGAGAGAGAGAGAGAGAGAGATCTCCAATAAAACTCAGAGTATACCCATTGAAACTAGAGCATGTCCACAGAAACCAATGATCTTCAGTGAATTGGTTTCTGTGGTTGTATTCCATTCCTGGTTGGAGACACTCCTATGACATTTCATAGCATGGGGAAAGAAACATTAGACAGGATGTTAGAACCACTCTCATACTTTCAGTGCTTCCCTTCAAACAGCCGGTAGCTCTTACCTGTACTAACCAAAGTACTGTTGTTGTAAAGCGTTCCCAGGTGAGGCCCAGAGAGGGAAAGGAAAGTATGCAGCTTATTGAGGTAATAGCGAAATCTGGGCCGGGTTAACACAGATCGGATGATGACGTTGCCGAGGGAGTGGCCGATGAAACTGTGGGGACACAATTTGTATCCATTTATTTAGAGAACGCCTTCATTGCTCTGCATTCAAAGGAACCTCTAAATGATGCACAAAAGCAGAAAGGGCCACCATTCAATATATTAACAACCAAACAGTAGCCTATGAAAATGATGTCATCCTCCTCCACAGTTGCCACTGCTATTTACCTTATTCGCGATATCGACAAGTTGTACAGCTGAATGTGCTGAATTATTTCATCTAGCAAGCGGTCGGTCATTGTATCGAAATCTGCAAATGTGTCCGTCTGTTAATTCAAGAGAAGAACAGTTGGTAGTACCCTTCCGAGTTTTCATAGGCAAAGAAGAAGAAAGAGACTATCTATCTATCTATATCTATCTATCATCTATCTATCTATCAGTCTCACACACAGTATGTGGTGTGTGTGGGTGTGGGTGTGTGTAAACCATATATTTGAAATGATTAACAAAAGAAGTTTGAGAATATTTAAAAGAAGAGTACACCTGCCCAAGGCATGCCATGCATTTCAGAGGCTCACTTCTGTTGGCTCTGCAACTGGTGTTGGGTGTGTGGTAGGGATGGTAAAGAAATTCAATCTGGCTTTCATATTAATGAGAAACTATCTAATTCACAGCTCCTAAACCAGTATGCAAATCTAAACAAAACCTCTCTGAATGTTGCAGTGCAGCTCTCCAACCAAACCATGCATACAAAATTGTATGCATTGGGGTACACAACTGTTAGCCTGCATTGGCATGATCTTACCCACGTCTATTCAAATGTAAGCACCCCTGTGTTCAATGGGAGTTATTCACATGTGACTGTAATAGCAGGGATGGTGGATCTCAAGTAAGCAGGTCAAATGTGACTTTCTAGGCACCTCTGTCTGTCCCCAGACACACTCACTTTCCCAAGGCCATGTCTCCCATTGGCTTGGCTTTGCATCTTCCATGAATGTTTTTGCCCAGCAGGGAATTGTACGTGCATTCTGACAATTCCTCTTACTAGTCTGGATGGAGGATAAAGAAAGCCGTGCAAAAATTGGCCTACTGCACAAAATTAAAATTTGCATTAATTTTTCTGTCCACTTTTTCCTCTCACCTAACCCACGGACGCGGGTGGCGCTGTGGGTTAAACCACAGAGCCTAGGACTTGCCGATCGGAAGGTCGGCGGTTCGAATCCCCACGACGGGGTGAGCTCCCATTGCTTGGTCCCTGCTCCTGCCAACCTAGCAGTTTGAAAGCACGTCAAAGGTGCAAGTAGATAAATAGGTACCGCTCCGGTGAGAAGGTAAACGGCGTTTCCGTGTGCTGCTCTGGTTTGCCAGAAGCGGCTTAGTCATGCTGGCCACATGACCTGGAAGCTGTATGCCGGCTCCCTCAGCCAATAAAGCGAGATGACCGCCGCAACCCCAGAGTCAGCCACGACTGGACCTAATGGTCAGGGGTCCCTTTACCTTTAACCCACCATTAGCATGCAACCTCTGGAAGGTAGGGCAGAAGGGAATGTGGACCCCAAGGTGAAAAAGGGTTAGAGGATCACAGCCTCAGTCAATATTCCAGTCTCATCCTTAATTTCTGGCCTTCACTGGCATGGCTCAGAGCTGAAGAGTTGGTGATGAAGCCATTCCAATGCTCTGTAAGCTTCCTACTGCCACTTTTACTACCACATAAAGTCCAGCTGCATTTGGCAACAGCTCTATGAAACCATCAGATGATTAATGTTGACCGCAAAGCTACCACAAAGTTGCATTGTTGCAACATAGTTCTGATATTTTGTTGTTGAACAGTTATAATTAGTACCCATTGATGGCCAGCAATGTGTAGTTATGCAAATGCTAAGCCATGCATTCTGTTGTTGCTTGTAATAAACAGAAAGGGAATGATGGAGGAACGGAATTCAGAGGGATGAGGATGGCAAATGGCTCTTTTTCTCTGGAGCTGTGCTGTTTTGTAATCCCATCAGCTCTGCATCAGATTCAAAACTAATGAGATGCCAGGGAAATAATCATCAAATGCTGGGACAAAGATTCAAGGGAAACATATCCAGTAATTAATGCTTCTTTTTGTGTGAGAGAGAAAATCCATCTTGCTAATTGCCACTCGTTCCGAAGAAAAACACGAGCACATCCAATTTGCAATATTGCCTTCCACTAAACATGCTCGTAAACTTAAATATAGACTCTGGCCTGTTTGTTTTGCCTGCACTGATAATTAATGGTTTTCTCTGAAACTTACTATCTTCCATTTTATTTAGACATGGGAGGATGTGCTTAATCACAGAGGACATATAAAAAAACCCACATGACTCTTCCTTGATAAGAAGGAGTGTCCCTTGAGCTCCAATGTATTTGTAATTATTTTCTGCAGCTTTGTGTTCCATTTTTTAAATTGTGGTATCATTAACTGTGTCAAATGCATCATTATGAGATGGGAACTTGAGGTACAAACCTTGAAGGAGTAAGAAATGAGCAAAGTACCTGGTTCCTTTCTGACATCAAGAAGTCAAGCTTTCCACCAGGGAGACCCAGTTCGATGAAAGTTTTTACCAGCCGTAGATCTGCACTGTTACCTTGAGGGGGAAGAAATTGATTTTCTAAGACACGGGTTCCATGCTGAAGGACATCATCCACCCATCTCTCATCCTGCTTACTGGGGAGGGGGGTTGACAATGACGGCCTGATATGTCTCTTTCCACAGCAAACATGAGTAGAGTCTTCTGATGATGAGTCCATGTGTCTAGGCTGGCCACTTTGCATGACTTTGCATTCCTGCTCTCACTGCAGGCATATCCTGAGGAGGTGGGAAGTGACTTGTGTTCCAGTGATATGGCTGTGATGCCCCCAGTGTGAATGCAGTGCCTCATATAAAATGGTGATTCATTTTCAGGACAATTTTCATCCTATCAAACTTTGACCCAGTGTGTTGAACCCAAGGTGAAATGTTCTGGAAGGCATTCAAGCACCATATTGGTGGCCAAGGTAACTCCAAACTAACTGGAAGTTGTTGCAAGAATAAGCTCATATGTGTATATTTATTTGCTTTGGTATATGCTACTTGGTTTACTTTGATGCTGCGCTAATCTGTGGACCTTGGGATACTGAGTTCTAGGCCCAGAGAGGAAAAGCTTCAAGTAGCTGCCACCTATGGCCTCACCAGCCAGGTGTGATAGGAGGTTCTGGGTAAAGTGATGCATGCTGCTTTGTGCATAAAGGTTGTATCAATGTTTGCTTGGGTGTGGACATGTCATGATGCAGAGAGGGCTCTGTTGTTGTTTTTAATTGCTGTTATTTTTTACCTATTAAACTGTGATATTAATGCTGTATTCTTAGTTTTAGATCTTGATTTACATGGAAATTGTTTTCCATTTGGTTGTGTATTTTTTTATGTGGTTTATTTATTGTTTATGACTTTTGTAATTATGTAAATCTTGTCATGTTGTAAGCCACCTTGAGCATTGTTTTTAACTGTGGAAAGTTAATAAATGATGATGATGACCTGTCACTGTTGCTGTGTCCATCCTATGTCTTTAAAGGCAGTAAGGCTCTGCACACTGTGTTGTAAGCTTATAAAGTGCTAGAACTGGATGTCTGGTCTTTCTGAATTCCTTCTTTGGTATCCCTGCATCAAACCACTCATACATGCCCTCCTTGGGGCCTGTGGTTCAGAACACCCATGACTTTGTGAAAGTTCTGAAGCACTGAGTTACTTCCCAGAGGAGGCTGGGATTTATAGTCCAACCCAAGTTTGAAGACCCCCTAACCATGGTCTCTATGACTAGTGTCACTGCAGCTGTCTGCTTTCACATTACACACAATTATGTATTGTGTGAACACTGTATATTCACAATGCACAGTTATCCCCACATCACCTCTTTGGCCTTACCATCCAGTCCATGGACACAGACCACTAGGTGAATCCCATCTTCAAAATTTTCTTCCTCTTCCTCTGGTGGGAAATATGGGATATCAGAAGCGAGTGCAGTTAAGTCACTGTACAGAAATCCTTCAATCTTCAGCTCTTTTTTAAATTTTTCTTTGGCCTGATGAAAACTGGAGAATACACTAATTAATCAATGATTGAGATGGGCATTCAACAACATGTGACTTTTCAACCATTGTATTCAAAGGGCTGGGGCCACTGCAGCTGGTAGACCAATTGTGGAAGGATAACCAAATTCAGATTTTCAAATCTCAACCCAAATGCCAGCCATACAGTCTCCAATGATGTAGGCCTGGGCTGGGGGACCTTTTCGGCCCACTGGGACAGATCTGTATCTCCCATACCCCAGTAGGACAATTTTGACAGGTGATTGGAACCGCCCACCTGTCAATCATATGACCTCATGTTGACATCCAGTGTGCTCCCACCGCTGGTTTGGCAAGCAGTGTAAATATGGCATTAGCCACAATCCATAGCTATCCTAGATGTATCTCATGAAATGTTGCATTTTTATGAGCTTCCCCCCAAAACCACCTTCAATCCAAATTGTAAAAATAATGACCTAGCTGAGCTTCAGAGCTTCCTGAACCCCAGCTGCTAGTGTAATCAGAAGTACCAAATCAACCCACCAAATCCAGGAAATTGCAGTCAATAGAACATGTGGGGAATGAAAAGCCCTTGGACCTACTTACCTAAGCATCCTTTCATTGGCCTCCCCATCCACATCACTGGACTCACAGGAGATGACCCCAAAGGAGCCTACTGGTTGGTGAGTAATTGGAGAAGTGACCTGCTTGGAGGAGAAGCCAGCCACTGGTGGGTTCTCTTTGAGGACCGAAGAAAAAGGAAGGCAGGTGGCTGCGCAAGAAACAGATAAGTTGACCACCTCAATAGCCTTTTTGCTCTCGAGCGCCAGTGGCCCTGGAGCCACTGAATGGAAGCTTGTGCTGTTTGCCACCATTTTGAACTCTCGGTTTTCTGGTTCTGCACAGTAGGATCCAAAGCCGGGTCTGTTATCCAGATCAATTTCTTGTAAGTTGGGTATTTCTCCACCACACATCACTACTTTGCCATTGGCAAGAGAACTGCCATGGGGACCCTTTGCAGAGACAGGTTCAGGTACTACCTCTGATGAGGCTCTGTTAGTATAGTCTGGCGTGTGGCCCTCATGGTGTGAAAAAACCTCAACGTTTGTGGAATACGAACCATGGACTGTGTGCAAATTTACCTCCTCCTCATACACATCAAGAGGAGTGGTGTTGGTGTCCAAATAGTCACCAACCCTTCCCAAGCAGATCTCCTCTGTTCTCTTTGGCAGCTGGCTTTCAACTGTGCCATCTAGATTTTCATTTTGCATTAGAAACACAGCTTCTCCTGTGGCTTCCAAGCCACAGTCCACCTCTGAAAAGCCCTCGGCAGCTTCTGGTAAGTGAGGACTGTCAACATTTTCTTCAAAGGCAGATCTGGGGTGTTCCATGGTAGCAAATGGAAGCGGCAACCCACCATTTTCTCTGGCATTCCGGCACATGGAAACATTTTCTGCTAGGGCCATGCTGGTGCACCCTATTTCCACGTATTGCCCCTCTGCGGTGTCCAATATAGTTTTTGCATGTTTTGATATATCCATGTCATCAACAGGCTCCTCAGGGCTACTGATCTGAGGAGCTGAGATAGATTTTGTCAGCTTATTGGGCTCCACCTCCCGCTCTTCCTCCTCATAGGGCAAAGAGCTGATTGAGGTGAGGGAGGCTTGGATGCCACTGGGCAAGCTGGTATTGCTTTCTGTGTGCCCTCCCTCCAGAGAGTTACGGTGAATCGCGTGCCTTCTGACGAGCTGGTGAAGAATCTCCCGGTCGCTGGGTAACTCCAAAGCCTTACTCCGTGCATCAGACCAAGCTACTGAACTGGGCTCGCTTTCAATCCCTGAGTCTGAGATTAGTGACGATGATCTCTTAATGACCCCTGATGTCAAGCTGAACTCTTCACACTCCTGCACTCTTTGCTCCTTAATCTCCTCAGCATCTTTTATCTCGTTCAGTGAACCCAAATCATCACTTACATCAAATGTCCTCAAGGATGGCAGTGTTGACTCACAACTCTGATCCGCTGGTTTCTCTTGGGCATTTAGAAGTTTGTCTGAAGTGAGAGTAGATTCACAACCATCCCCTGAAGCTGCTTGGCTCAATTCAATCTCATTCAAAAGTTTATGTTGGCCACATGTGCCACCATCATACTGGGCAGTCATGACTAGCATTGGTTCTCCTTGGTGGTTATTATTACACACTGGGCTTATGTCCAAATAGGCGGCCTCCGGTGAAAGTCTATCACTATTATTTTCTGAAAGCTCCATTGGTGTCTTAAGGCTTTCTATATTATCCTTCAGGAGTTCTGATTGCAAACCAGAAATCATATTGCTAGCCAGATCTGACTCATCCCCATGGGACTGGGCATCTCCATTCATTGTGTGTACCTGAGTTGTGGGGTGATCCTTGAGACTCTCAACCATACAGGAATCTCCTTTTGGATAGCTGTGACCATACACCGATTTTCCATTTATCCTATCTGTATGGATGATGAAAGGGGCATTGTTCCTGAAATCTCCCTTTGCTAAAGCAGTGTCATCATTTGAAGAAGGATCCTCGTTTTTTCCTATTAAGTCCACTTGTGATTTGCCAGCAGCAGAAACAACATAGTCCGGCAAGCTGTCCAAGCTCTGAACTGAAAGAGAGAGAGAGAGAAAATACCCCCTGATTATTATAGCAACACTAGAAACTAATTGTTTCAGTAAAATTACCAGCTTGATTCAAAAAAACAGTTTTATTTACAATATATAGCAATTAGGACGCGGGTGGCACTGTGGTCTAAACCATGGAGCCTCTTGGATCGGCAGTTCGAATCCTCACAACGGAGTGAGCTCTCGTTGCTCTGTCCCAGCTCCTGCCAACCTAGCAGTTTGAAAGCATGCCAGTGCAAGTAGATAAATAGGTACTGATGTGGTGGGAAGGTAAACGGCGTTTCCGTGTGCTCTGGTTTCTGTCACAGTCTTCCATTGTGCCAGAAGTTGTTTAGTCATGCTGGCCACATGACCTGGAAAGCTGTCTGTAGACAAACGCCAGATCCCTCAGCCTGAAAGTGAGATGAGCGCTGCAACCCCATAAACGCCTTTGACTGGACTTCACCATCCAGGAGTCCTTTAACTCCTTTTATATAACAATTACAAAAAGAATGATACAAAAAGGGGAAGAGTTGGGATTCTACAGCATTCTTGTGGCATTCCCTGCAGTGCAGTGCCCAGTGTCAGTCAATCAATCAGTAGCTGAACTGGGTTCCACACAATCACAGAAACAAGTCACAGAAACGAAGTCACAAGCCACAGTCACAAAAACAAAAAACTGCACAAACAAAAATGCCAAAAATAAAATAAAAAACAAAAGCACCAAATATAAGCTCCAAATATCACCTCAGTGTTGCGTGGGTGCCTGGGACAACCTCAGAATGGAAGAGGAAGTCTCTCATTAGCAGTGGGGGGCTCAATTTACAAACAGAAGACACAGAGAAAGGAAGAGGAACAGCGTAGGACTCAAAATGAAGCACGTTCAGCTTCCGAAAAGAAGTTCGAAAACCGGAACACCTACTTCTGGTTTTGCAGCGTTTGGGTTCCAAGTTGTTTGTGAACTAAGCTGTTCGGAAACCGGGGTACCACTGTACTTGTAAAACCAAATAAAAATTATTTCAAAAAGAAAAAAAGAAAGTAAAATTCCCAAGGAGGAGCTCCAAAGCTCAGTTTATTACCCACCTTTGTAGGGGAAATCGACATATCTGTCTTCAAAAATAATCGGCAGCGTGCCCCAGTCTCCATCAATGTCGAGGCACTCTACTGGCAGGGGCGGCATGCTGGTGAGGTACTCGGAGTTCCGGACTTCTGATGAGATTTGGTTGTGATGCTGGATGCTGTTTGAAAGAAACAGGAGGGTAATTTTCCCTAGTGTAGAGTTTCCCCACTTCCAGTTCCATTGGACTGAGTTCCCGCCCCCGAGAGAGTTTGCCACGATCGCCAGCAACAACCCACTTGAACCAAACATGAAACGCCGTCTAAATCAGGGGTGGGGGTGGGCATTTTTCAGTCTGGGGGCTGCATTCCATTCCAGGCAACCTCCTGAGGGCCACGTGGACAGGACCAGAAGCAAAAGTGGGTGGATCAACGAATGGAAACTTTACATCTGAATGGTAGGCTAGTTTCCATACCCCTGTGCTCCACCCAAGGAAAAGAGAAAAAGGAAGGAAGGAAGGAAGGAAGGAAGGAAGGACACATTTCAGCAGGGTAAAACATTCTGGGTGTGAAGCAGTCAGTGAGGGGTATGGCCTAAGGGCCAGTCTAGAGGGGAACAGAGGGTTGTCTTGGAACCTAGGCTTGAGGTTCCCTACCCCTCCTGGCTTTACTTCTGTAACAAAACAAAACAACCCCTGCGTTGCAAAGAGAATGTCAGCAATGTCGAGGCAACACTATGACCATATACATACGTAATAGACAATCTTTATAAAATTCCCTCAAACCATAAGAAGTACAAAATGAAATCTTTAGTCTCAAAGTCTCTGAAAATCTTTAAATGAAGTGAGGTACCAAACTTTGTACGATGAAAGACAAGCTGTGAAGCTTTGTGTATTCAGCAAATATGATGTCCAACACTGAACAGTGATTCCAGATATTGACTACTGTTTTGTAGAATTCTTCGTCAGCGTGGTGGGAGTATATAGAATTGCTTCATAATCTTATTTCGAATGAATGTATGTAAATGAAAATATCAAATGCTGTGGAACAATGCTCATGTAATAATGTAAAGGTAAAGGTAAAGGGACCCCTGACCATTAGATCCAGTCATGGCTGATTCTGGGGTTGCGGCGCTCATCTCGCTTTATTGCCCGAGGGAGCTGACCAAGCTGGTCATGTGGCCAGCTTGACTAAGCCACTTCTGGCGAACCAGAGCAGCACACGGAAATGCCGTTTACCTTCCCGCCAAAGTGGTACCTATTTATCTACTTGCACTTTGACGTGCTTTCGAACTGCTAGGTTGGCAGGAGGAGGTACCAAGCAATGGGAGCTCACCCCATCGCAGGGATTCAAACCGCCGACCTTCTGATCGGCAAGTCCTAGGCTCTGTGGTTTAACCCACAGCGCCACCCGCTGCTTATTCCACAGCATTTGTACTTCTTATGGCTTTACTTCTGTGACAGATCCTTTCCTTACACCAAACACTCATTCTATGCCCTACATGAGACACAGATGTGTGCCAGCCCATGGCTTTAGAACTGGGGGTGAAGAAGGAGAATATCTTGCCTCTCGGGGTAGGATATGTTATATGATGACTTGAGATAGAGCCTTCTTCATGGTGGCCCCCAATTACACTGGAAGGTACCCACTACACTGGAGGTGCCCACTATACCTCCAACATTTCTCCGATCAAAATTGGGATGGCCAAAATTGGGATGCATCTAACAATAATTTTATACCTTGCCCATCTGACTGGGTTGCCGCAGCTGCTCTGGCATATATAAAAGTACAATAAAACATTCACTATACAGCGCTGCCTTCAAATGGCTTGGGGGTCAGATAACTCCATACCCCCAACTTTTCTCCAGTGTAAATAGCGACATCCTAAGGAAAAGCGGGACATTCCGGGATCAAATCAGAAACTGAGACAGCTTCTGTAAATCCGGGACTGTCCCTAGAAAACTGGGACACTTGGGAGTGTCTGCAGCTTCCATTATCCTTGCTGTCAGCTTTCTGGGGATGACAGGAGTTCGAGTCTTACAATGTGTAGGCAGCACCATGTTGGCAAACCCTGAACAAAGACATGCATTTATTATCTGATACTCAAAGGGAGCTTGCATCTGAATATGGAAGTCCCATTTAGCTTAGCTGCCAGAACTAAGAGCGTTAGACTGAACCATCCCCCATGTAATTTATCTGATCACAGAAGCACCCCCTGGCAAAATGACAATAAGCAACTGTTGGCCACAGAAGAAAGAGAGATTGATTCTGCCAGTATCTCTCTTTGAAATCTCTGGTTTTTATTGTGCAACATTTTCCAATTCTAAACTAAAAACTAGGCTAACCACCCTGCTGGGAAGTGCTTCTGTAAATCTGGGACTGTCCCTGGAAAACTGGGACACTGGAGGAAAGTGCATATATTGTGTTTTCTATGGGTTGGAAGACACCATGTGTGGGCTTGACCTCCCAAAATCAGCATTGCAGTATATTAGGATGTGATGCTGTACCTACCTTCCAGGGAATAAGTCCCATTTAGTGCCACGGTGCCTACTACTAGGTAGCTATGCCCAGAATTGCATGGTCACATAAGTGTGTCATATTTTTCTTTTAATAAGTGAGAAAATAAATGTCATTAAAATATATAACACCACAGTCAAAAGGTAGAAATGCAAAAGTTACATACAGGCTTTCCTGGAAAGTCACAACAGCAGGCTTTTGATGCTCAGCATGAAAGAAAGCCTCAGAGAATCTTCTTACCTGGAGAAGAAAAACATGTTAGAAGGTGTATCACCTTCAAAACATAGTCTATAATCCATGTTTATTAAGTGGTTTCTAGCTGTAATGGTATAAAAGAATATGAAAAAATGGTTTTTTATAAGTAAAAATTCAAGGTTATAATAATTTAAGATTAAAGATCTGGGTAGAATAAAGAGGGAAAGAAACTGCTGAGCTAATAAATTGAACTGGAATACAAAAAAGGGAGGTACGAGGAGGTCCAAGAAACAAGTAATCGAAAAATAATGTGATGAAAAGATTGTTTTTAAATATTTTTATTTTGTATTTTTTCTTTTTTCTTTTTCTATTTTGTAATGTAAAAATCTTAATAAAAATTTTATTAAAAAATATATATAATCTATGTTTATTTGTATATTGTGTACGTAACAGCCCACGGCATCTGACATTCCTGGAATCAGAGTCAGCAGTGCATTTAAAAAGGCCGCAGAAGTTTGGGGCGCAACAAAAATATACCTTGGCTTGTTCGGACAAGTGAGTCCAGAAGGTGTGCTGACTACAAGAAAATAAATATTAGGAACTCCCCGATGTAGGGATCAATCTAGTTAAACATGCATTTTGGAAGGAGGGAGGAAGAAAATGTCTGGAAGTGTGCATTTTGAAAAATTTGTGCTTTAAAATATGTATTTAAATGCACATTTGGGGGGGGATATAAATAAGTGTGAAAATGGGACAGAGCAGGACAGATTTATAGGTGAACCTATGTGAAGGTGACATAAACTGGGTATAACTCATTCCTGTGATGGAGCCAAACATAAGCAAATTTAGTATGCCACTCTTGGGTGCTCCACAATGAGATGTCCCGGCTTTCCTCACTTTCTGGAAGTATCCTTGGGGAAGATGCCAGAATGCTAAATCCTCTCCTTTTTGGGAAATTTGGGGAAGTGGAATTGTAAAATGAAAGAACACAGACATCCACACCCACTGCATAATTTTACAAGATTCAAAGACACCCACATGGATATCACCAAAATTCTGCTTTCCCATAATTTTTGGGGAGATTTTCTTTCTGAGACCCTCCTGACAGCAAAAGACAAAATAAAATGGGGTTTTAAGGGCAGGTTTGCATCTAAACGAACAAATAAGATTGAAATCAGCATTTTATTGAAAATGTGGTAGCACTTCCGTTTATTGTCATTATTACTGGTCACATCGTCCAAAACAACTCAGTGCAATCTTGGTTATGCTAAATTTTAGGAAATTCATGAAATCTGGGAACCCCTAAAGACACACAAAACAATTCTGCAATGCCCTTAAAAATGAGTGGGATTGCCTATAGCCTTCGATTGTATCAGGTTGTTCCTCCAAGTAGGGTTCAGAACCATCTTGCAAGGTTACCCTCAGAGTGTGATGTTCCTGAACGAGATAGGCTGTGACATCTGGGTGCAGGGTTACGAACTCTAGAAACTGGGTCCAGAGAGCCAAAAGGTGGGAGCAGAGCCAAGTGAGGTCTTTGCTGATCTGCTCTGCTATCTTTTCTGGATTGTTCAGCATCTGGAAGGGTACAAAGTAGATATTGTCAAGGCAAACTAGTGACAATGACCTTTGAATTGGTTTTTATTTTATTTCATTTTGCAAAAGGTCAAACATCTGAATAAGCCTGGAGGAGACCCAAAATGATTCAGAGCAGAACAGCACAGCCGTACCTCTTGTTACTTGAGTCTCCGTTTGCGTTTATTCAGGATACGAATGTGGCAAACCTGGGAGTGTATACTTCCAGGTTTCGCCGCCTGTGCATGCGTAGAAGCACTCTATCATGCCACGCATGTGTGCAGAAGCAGCGCTCTAGTTGTGGACTTTTTGAGGTGTGAACGACACCCCGGAATGGATCAAGTCCGTAACTAAAGGTACCACTGTATAGCCTTATTGGGTTCCAACTACAGTGGACGCTCGGGTTGTGAACGTGATTTGTGCGGGAAGCACGTTCGCAACCCGCAGCGGTGCATCTGTGCACGTGTGGGTTGCGATTCAGTGATTCGGCGCTTCTGCACAAGCGCTGAAACCCGGTAGTAACCCATTCCGGTACTTCTGGGTTCGGTGTGGTGCGCAACCCAAAATCGTGCAACCCAAACTGTCTGTAACTCGAGGTATGACTGTATGGAAATGAAGTTAGGCAAAACAACACAAGAAGAGTTCTGCTAGATTAGGCCACAAACCCATCTAATATGGCATCCAGTTTTTCACAGTGATCAACCATTTGCCTATGCAGCAGCTGACGCAAGCAGGACACGGGTTCTAAAAGATCTACATTGGCTCCCAGTGTGTTTCCAAATGCAATCAATGTGTTGGTGTTGACCCTTAAAGCCCTAAATGGCATTGGCCCTGTATACCTGAAGGAGTGTCTCCACCTTATTGTGCAGCCCAGACACTGACATTCATCTCAGAAGGCATTCTGGAAGTTCCCTCATTGTGAGAAGTGAAGTTACAGGGAACCAGGCAGAGGGCCTTCTTGGTAGTGCCACCACCCTGTGGAACGCCCTCCCAAGGCAGTCTTGTATCAGGAGGCTTTTTTCCATTGGAAGCCACCCAGAGTGGCTGGCGCAACCCAGTCAGATGGGTGGGGTACAAGTAAATCATCATCATCTTAACACTGTACAATAGTACCCTGTCCTCTTGTGACTCCTAGCAACTGGCGTTAAGGGACATATGACCCATAACACCTTTGAATTAGGGGGCAATCTTTTGCCAATATGCACCAAGATAAGGAGTTCAGGATTCCCAGCTCATGTAGGCTTAGCCAGGATTAAGTCCTCATCCCCAACTCAGCAGAAGACATTAAGACAGTTTGAGTGTATTGTGCATATTAAGGAAGCTATGTTGAAATTTTGCAACTTTCATCAAGGCTCTTTTCTCACCCTTGTAGAATTGATCATAAAATTGTAGAGTTGGATGGGACACAAAGGGTCTTCTATTCCAACTCTCTAATTCGTCTGGTAATTTCCTTGGTATTTCGTGTATCTTGAAATGTAACTCAGTGTGAAACTCAGCGTTGGCAACACGAGGTACAGAAGCCTGTACTGGAAATGTTGCTCAGCACTTTTTCCTCCCTCAGAGTTCCTCAGTCGTTTCCTCCTGGAAGGGGCTTCAAATTCTCCTGAAAATTTTGCTTCTTGCCGAGTTCAACTCAATCTTGCTCTGGATTTGATGGCATCTGTGTCCTGCCCTTCTCCTTCCCTATTTCCAGCTTCTTCAAATGAACATTACTCGTGAGCATCAATCTAGATTGAGCTTCTGACAAGGATAATGGGAGTAGTAAAATATTCAAACTGTTTTGCGAGTCTAGTTCTGGGGAAAGATTTAAGCTGACAACGAAAGATGGGGAGATTTATGGCAAATATCTTTTACAGTGGCTGAGATCCAGAGTTTCTCCTGCTGGCGAGAGGCTATTCTGTGTGGTTTTGCCAGGATGAGATGCTCCCACCAGATGAAGGTGGGTGTGGGACAATTTACAACCATTTCCCTTTCTCCCTCCAGATCTTTATGCTCCCCCAAATTCTGCTTGGTGGGGGTTGGGAACCCCTTCAAAGCAACGTGAGATGCAATACATGTGGGAATGTTCAGGATGACAGGAGAGGATATATTGTTTATTAATATCCTTCCTAACTTGCGTTAGCAAGTTCCTTTATGTAGCAGAGTTACATTCCCCCCTTTTATATGCACAGCAGATAGCTGGTTGCAGGCTCGTGTGAGCCTCTCACTATTATGCAATTCAGTCTGCCTCAGGTTGAATTGTACGTTCCCTTGAATCCGTCTTAAAAGAATAAAGATGTGACAATCCTATTCAAAGTCAATAAAAGAAATTTACTCACATCAGTTCACAGTTGGATTCCTGAAGGCAGATTTAGTTACAAATATGTACATGTGGATCTACCCCATATGGGGGAATAATCCCAGTGCTTCTGCTAGCTGAGAGCTGGCAGAACAGTCCTAGCCAGAAGCTGGTCAAACAAAGAAGGAAGTCAAAAAGAGAAAGGTGTGCTGCGTGACTCGTCCTTTTGTTACCTGGCAGGTTAGGTCACGCCCACCTTCTATCACATGCAAAAGGAAGGATGCTCCAGCCAGGAGGAAACATTCCCTCACATGTCTTCTCTAGGATTACAAGGAATGTTGTACTTGACTGCTTCTCATGGATCACATCCCACAATACAGAATGAGAGGCAACACGAGGTGCTATGGTGGAGCGTAGGAGAGGGAAATGGACAAAAAATTGCCTCTCATCTTCCACCAGCAGGTTCCCTTGCTGGAACTCAGGGTTCTACCTAATACTACCATTCTGCTGAAGCTGCCTGTGAACAACTAAGTGTTCTTTCCTATGGACTGCAAAAATAGAAACAACAGACATTTCTTGTTGTCAATTATACATTGTCCGCTAGATGGTGCTGCTCCATCTATAATGTTTTTTAAAACCCCCGCTAACATGCCAAACTTTTTCTGATGCATCTGCAATATTTCCCTTGTTTGTTCCTCCAAGCACTTCCCAGCAGGGTGGTCAGCCTAGTTTTTAGTTTAGAATTAGAAAATGCCGCACGATAAAAATCAGATATTTCAAACAGAGGTACTGGCAGAATAAATCTCTCTTTGTTCTGTGGCCAACAGTTGCTTATTATCATTTTGCTGTGGGTGGTGGGGATAATTCAGTGTGGTCTGTTCTTTGTGGGGTTCTCTTTCTGCAGCCATAAACTGTGGAAGTGGCAAATTCCCCAGATCTGCTCAATTACACGGAGGACAGATCGGTCAAATGCTCTTAGCTATGGCAGCGAAATGGGGCTTCCATATCCAGATGCAACATACCTAAGTATCAGATAATAAAATGCATGTCTTAGTTCAGGGTTTGCCAACATGATGCTGCCTGTACATTGTAGGACTCCACTCCTATCATCCCCAGAAAGCTGAGAGCAAGGATGATGGTCTAAAAGAATCTGAAGGGAACCTCATTGGCTTCCTTACTAGAATAATAAACTCCACCTTGCTTCAAACACCAGGCATTAGCAAGAGATTTCATCCTTTTCATAGAATCATAGAATCATAGACTCATAGAGTTGGAAGAGACCACAAGGGCCATCGAGTCCAACCCCCTGCCAAGCAGGAAACACCATCAGAGCACTCCTGACATATGGTTGTCAAGCCTCTGCTTAAAGACCTCCAAAGAAGGAGACTCCACCACACTCCTTGGCAGCAAATTCCACTGTCGAACAGCTCTTACTGTCAGGAAGTTCTTCCTAATGTTTAGGTGGAATCTTCTTTCTTGTAGTTTGGATCTATTGCTCCGTGTCCGCTTCTCTGGAGCAGCAGAAAACAACCTTTCTCCCTCCTCTATGTGACATCCTTTTATATATTTGAACATGGCTATCATATCACCCCTTAACCTCCTCTTCTCCAGGCTAAACATGCCCAGCTCCCTTAGCCGTTCCTCATAAGGCATCGTTTCCAGGCCTTTGACCATTTTGGTTGCCCTCCTCTGGACACGTTCCAGTTTGTCAGTGTCCTTCTTGAACTGTGGTGCCCAGAACTGGACACAGTACTCCAGGTGAGGTCTGACCAGAGCAGAATACAGTGGCACTATTACTTCCCTTGATCTAGATGCTATACTCCTATTGATGCAGCCCAGAATTGCATTGGCTTTTTTAGCTGCCGCGTCACACTGTTGGCTCATGTCAAGTTTGTGGTCAACCAAGACTCCTAGATCCTTTTCACATGTACTGCTCTCAAGCCAGGTGTCACCCATCTTGTATTTGTGCCTCTCATTTTTTTTGCCCAAGTGCAATACTTTACATTTTTCCCTGTTAAAGTTCATCTTGTTTGTTTTGGCCCAGTTCTCTAATCTGTCAAGGTCGTTTTGAAGTGTGATCCTGTCCTCTGGGGTGTTAGCCACCCCTCCCAGTTTGGTGTCATCTGCAAATTTGATCAGGATGCCCTTGAGTCCATCATCCAAGTCGTTGATAAAGATGCTGAATAACATGCAGCGGACTTTAGCTTTGGCCTCGGAAATTAGCTAGAAGCAAGCAAAGCATAGTTTTGGTCTCCCCAGCAACCTTTTAACCCAGCTTGAATTGGGGACGAGCATAAACATTGAACCTTTCTGCTGTTTTTCAAACTTATGGACTAACCACCTATAAACACTGTACTGCAATGGTCAGCAAAAGCTACCATGAGACTGCCAGCACCCAACTCCCATATCTTGCGACCTTGTCCTCTCCTAAAAAATGTACTGGGCAGCAAAGTAAGCTAGAAAAACCCCAGACATGCCATCACCACCTTACCCTGGTTAGGTAAAGGTAAAGGACTCCTGGGCGGTTAAGTTCAGTCATAGGGGCAGGGGGTGCTGTGGTCTAAACCACGGAGCCTCTTGGGCTTGCTGATCGGGAGGTTGGTGGTTCGAATCCCCATGACAGGTGTTGCTCTGTCCCAGCTCCTGCCAACCTAGCAGTTTGAAAGCATGCCAGTGCAAGTAGATAAATAGGTACTGCTGTGGTAGGAAAGTAAACAACATTTCCGTGTGCTCTGGTATCTGTCATGGTGTCCTGTTGCACCAGAAGCGGTTTAGTCATGCTGGCCACATGACCTGGAAAACTGTCTTTCCAACCTGAAAAGTAAGATGAGCACCACAACCCCATAGTCTCCTTTGACTGCATTTAACAGTCTAGGGGTCCTTTACCTTTACCTTTTACCCTGGTTACCAAGCACTAACTCTTGGGTCTGCAAGATGAGGTAAGAAAAAGGAGGAAATAGCACATTTTCATAGGGAACAATGATAGCAAATAGGATCATGGTAAAGTCCAACCAATGTACTTGAAATTTATAAATCTCTGAATGTATAGGATCTGGAACTGAGTTCCCCTGAATCTTCTTACTTTACTCTGAATAAATCCCCTTTTTTCCACCACTGGTGTGAATGCTTTCACCTGTCACCCCATCTTTGGACTTTTTGTCCGTAATGTTGGTAGCCCAAGTATTCTGGAATGCTCTCGCCGCTGAAATATGGGGTGTCCAGTTGGTATTGCCATTGCACCATCTTCTGAAGGTACACCTGTTTAAGCAAGTATTAAACTCCTGAACCGAACTTCCTGTTTCAATGGCTGCTTTAGCTCTTTTAACGGTTGTGCTGTTTTATTGTATTGAATGAATATTCTAAGTGTGGGTAGTTTATTGTAATCTTTCGAGGGGGTCATTTTCTTGTGTATTTTAATTAGGTGTCTTAATATTTTCTTTTTGTAATTGCTTTTATACTTGTAAAACCATTTAGAAGACACCTTGGCACTTAAGTGGCACGTACATGAATAAATAATAATGCTAATACCCCTGCCTTAATCAAGTTCTTCGCTTTGGAACCGAGCATAATACTACCCAGCCATTCTTAGAACACCACAGGGCACCGTAATGCCAGCCACGAGAAACATCACCAGTGATCGTCTCACAATAAGAACCCACATTTAGCAGATATTAGGCCAATTTTGTCCACCCAGAGAACATCCCATGCCTAAGAACAACTCTGCTGGATATCTCTTTTGCGTGGCTGTAGCCATCATTGTAGGGACGCAGGTGGCGCTGTGGTGTAAACCACTGAACCTTGGGCTTGCCGATCGGAAGGTTGGAGGTTTGAATCCCTCGACGGGGTGAGCTCCTGTTGTTCGGTCCCAGCTCCTGCCAACCTAGCAGTTCGAAAGCACATCAAAGTGCAAGTAGATAAATAGGTACTGCTCCAGCGGGAAAGTAAATGGCATTTCCATGCGCTGCTCTGGTTTTGCCAGAAGCGGCTTAGTCATGCTGGCCACATGACCCGGAAAAACTGTCTGCAGACAAATGTCGGCTCCCTCACCCAGTAAAGCAAGATGAGTGCCGCAACCCCAGAGTCGCGACTGGACTTAACTGTCAGGGGTCCTTTACCGTTCTTTACCTTTTTAGCCATCATTGTAGCTATCATGTGGCAGTAAGATTTATAAGATGAACCACTCTGTGTTGGGTGAAAGTATGTTGTGTTGTGTGCCTACTGCCAATCAACTTCATTCAGTGATTTTACATTATGGAATTTGAAGAGAAAAATAAACCTCTTTCCAAACCTTTCAGGGGTCTTTCTTTCTTTCTTTCTTTCTTTCTTTCTTTCTTTCTTTCTAAAAGCCTCAATATATTTTGCTTTCCTTCATAAGGAAGCTTGAGAGATTTGATCTTTGTAGATTCCTATACTAAATCACTTGGTCAGCATATGGATCAGCACGGGGCATAAATAATAAATTATTATTATTATTATTATTATTATTATTATTATTATTATTATTAGTTTCTTAGTTGTTTTTACATCCCACAATCTGCACCAAGTGATGATAAGAGCATCAGCTAGGTAAAGCAAGGCGTAGCATGATAAAAGTCAGAGTTAGAATAACTGGATCACAATCAAACCAGAAACAGTGACAAACGATTGGACTACCCCAAGAAATAGCAATTGCCTTTAAGATACAAAACCCTGGGCAAAAGAAAAGATATGTATTCAGTCTTTGTTTAAATATATCCACTGTGGAAGCCAACCAGATGCTACTAGGTAGGACGTTCTGAAAATGTGGCATCACCACCAAGAAGGCCCTGCTCCATGTCACTTACAAGGCATGATCATGTGTCGCCTCTCAGCAATTTAAGCATATCAAAATATTTGGATACGTTTTTGACAGAAGATAAACATTATATACAGATTTTAAACATTAGAATGTATATTTTTTTTAAAAAGATGTTTGAGAAGGTTTGTGGGTTTTCTTTTAGAAAAGAAGAATAACATGTGAATAAGGAAACTGAACAGAATTGAATTATGGGAAATAGCATGCAAAAGGGGAATGGGCTGGAATGAAATGGATTTGCAAATCTCTGACAGAAAGTGCACCAACCCCATGCAGAAGTCATTGTGCTGGAATGCAAAACTCAAGTAATTTTTTTGCACTCTAACACAACACTCCCTTCCCCATAGACAAATGCATGTACTTGACAATGGACATGCATCTTTGAAGAGGGAAAACAAAATATTGCTCTTGCAGTTGTTTGTGAAATGCACACAGGGGTTTGTGCTATTGTGCTAGCTACCTGTAGCTCTGCAGACAGCTGCAACAGGGTGTCTTCTACAGAAAGGTCCTCTAGGAAAAAGAAGAAGAAAAAGGTACAATCATTATTTCAGAAGCATCTGTGCCCAGGGTTGATTTGCATGATAATAGGAACATCAGAAGACCTCAGCCAAATGTCTCAATTGAAATGACGGAATACACTTAGTTGCTCCATCTTTTCTCATATATCTTGCCAGAAACAACAAGGTGCCAAAAAAATAAAAAATAAAATAAAATTCACCACCAACTCAATATAGCATAAATAAAAACCACAAACTACCCTTTGGCAAAAAGCAATCAAAGATAAGTTGAATAATTCATACAGTCCCCTCCCCCACTCTTCATTACAGGAGTTATTCTTGCCAATTGGAATAAAATTGTGACATCATTCATCCTAAAGTAAAATTTCAAAGGCCTGCTAATTTTCTATGCCCCCCCCCATTTAATCATGGAATTAAATAATTGACCTGTTTAAAGATTCATATCCTATGGACAATGGGTAGAATCTTAGAGAGACGTGGGGAACACAAATTGAACTCTATATGCTCTAAACTCCCGCTGCATATCATTTCAGCTAAACTCCAGAAATCTTTTTAAAAGATGGAACTGAATCAGATAAGATAGCAGAATAATGGCATGCAGAATGAGTTATTTATAGATTGTATTCCCAAGTGAGAGCTGGACCATAAAGAAGGCTGATTGCCGAAGAATTGATGCTTATGGTGCTGGAGGAGACTCTTGAGAGTCCCATGGACTGCAAGAAGATCAAACCTATTCATTCTGAAGGAAATCAGCCCTGAAAGGACAGATCCTGAAGCTGAAGCTCCAATACTTTGGCCACCTCATGAAAAGAGAAGACTCCCTGGAAAAGACCCTGATGCTGGGAAAGATGGAGGGCACAAGGAGAAGGGAACAACAGAGGACGAGATGGTTGGACAGTGTTTGCAAAGCTACCAGCATGAGTTTGACCAAACTGCAGGAGGTAGTGGAAGACAGGAGTGCCTGGCGTGCTCTGGTCCATGGAGTCATGAAGAGTCGGACACGACTAAACAACAACAATTCCCAAGGTTTATTGTTCTGTGAACTTATAAAAGAACCTGTCAGGGAGGCTGGCATTATTGCCGTTATATTGCAGGTGGTGAGAGGGTTGTCGCAGCAAGATGTGTGGCCTGCTTTAAGCTGGGGATAAACTGAAAACTGGGGGTTTGGTGTCCCCTGCAAAAAGTTTCCTTTTTATGGTTGTTTGAAGGTGCTCCAAACAGCACAAAAGGGAGAGGAAACTGTGAGCCCATTGCCAAGGTACCTGGACTGATGTGTGTAAGCAGTTTCCTTATGGCAGCAAAGAGGGGAGATTGGTCTGGCAGAATCAGTCGTCTTGTTGGGCTTCAAGTCACCTGAACACGAGAACTTGTCCACATGCTCAGATCTCAGGCCACGGCTCTCCTCTTACCTAACTTCAGCTGCGGCAAATTGGGAATCTCCTTCGTGATGAAGGCATAGTACATGTGGAGTCCTCGATACGCCTTGAGGAGCAGGAGGCAAAGGTCTTTGTGCCACTTGTGCGCATGCTGCATGCAGTTTCCAGAGGGCACATAGAAGCTACCCTGCATAAGAAAGAAAGAAAGAAAGAAAGAAAGAAAGAAAGAAAGAAAGAAAGAAAGAAAGAAAGAAAGAACAAGGGGAGCAGATTATCACAATGCTCAATTTAAAAAAAAAATTATTAAGTTTTCTATTTTAATAATCCAATAAAAACCACATTAAAACATTCCAAATTACAATACAATAAAAAAGACAAATATAAATGCCAAACTGTATATCTTTGGGTGACTTCCCATGCTCTGAATTTCACAGAGTGCTGATCATCTAGTATCACATTGCATTTCTTAATTAGTCAATAAACCATTCTGGTGTTGATCCTTCGCTTGATTTTCATTTATGTTTGCAACCACTAGAATCATAGAATCATAGAATCATAGAGTTGGAAGAGACCACAAGGGCCATCGAGTCCAACCCCCTGCCAAGCAGGAAACACCATCAGAGCACTCCTGACATATGGTTGTCAAGCCTCTGCTTAAAGACCTCCAAAGAAGGAGACTCCACCACACTCCTTGGCAGCAAATTCCACTGTCGAACAGCTCTTACTGTCAGGAAGTTCTTCCTAATGCTTAGGTGGAATCTTCTTTCTTGTAGTTTGGATCCATTGCTCCGTGTCCGCTTCTCTGGAGCAGCAGAAAACAGCCTTTCTCCCTCCTCTATGTGACATCCTTTTATATATTTGAACATGGCTATCATATCACCCCTTAACCTCCTCTTCTCCAGGCTAAACATGCCCAGCTCCCTTAGCCGTTCCTCATAAGGCATCGTTTCCAGGCCTTTGACCATTTTGGTTGCCCTCCTCTGGACAAGTTCCAGTTTGTCAGTGTCCTTCTTGAACTGTGGTGCCCAAAACTGGACACAGTACTCCAGGTGAGGTCTGACCAGAGCAGAATACAGTGGCACTATTACTTCCCTGGATCTAGATGCTATACTCCTATTGATGCAGCCCAGAATTGCATTGGCTTTTTTAGCTGCCGCGTCACACTGTTGGCTCATGTCAAGTTTGTGGTCAACCAAGACTCCTAGATCCTTTTCACATGTACTGCTCTCAAGCCAGGTGTCACCCATCTTGTATTTGTGCCTCTCATTTTTTTTGCCCAAGTGCAATACTTTACATTTCTCCCTGTTAAAATTCATCTTGTTTGTTTTGGCCCAGTTCTCTAATCTGTCAAGGTCGTTTTGAAGTGTGATCCTGTCCTCTGGGGTGTTAGCCACCCCTCCCAGTTTGGTGTCATCTGCAAATTTGATCAGGATGCCCTTGAGTCCATCATCCAAGTCGTTGATAAAGATGTTGAATAAGACCGGGCCCAAGACAGAACCCTGTGGCACCCCACTAGTCACTCTTCTCCAGGATGAAGAGGAACCATTGATGAGCACCCTTTGGGTTCGGTCAGTCAGCCAGTTACAAATCCACTGAGTGGTAGCATAGTCAAGACCGCATTTTACTAGTCTGTTCAGCTTTCGCCTTCATAGTTCTGTGTGAAATATTTCCCCCTGTTGTTATCCACATTCCAGCAATTCCATTTTTGATTTCTGCTCACAGGAGCCATAAACGCCACATCCCCCCAAAAATAAAAATACACCATTAGCCATCCAGAATTCCCCTCTGTAGTCTCGCTCCATCTCCCAACATGCTGGTACCTCCACAAGAACAAAACTCCGGTCCAGAATTCTTTCCATCCTTGCACTGAGGGTAGCTGCCAGAATCCAGTCAGTATTATAATTGAACCACAATGGCAGCAGAGTGTTCTTTCAAGCTCGCTTGTGTATTTCAAACAGTTGCCTTTCGGGGGAGGTTTACCAGGTATAACTGCAAGTACATATACAGTCATACCTCGGGTTACAGATGCTTCAGGTTGCATGTTTTTGGGTTATGGACTCGCCAAAACCTGGTTTTGGTGGTCATGCATGCACAGAAGCACTAAATCACGCTTTGCAGAAGCACTGAATTGCAACCTGCACATGTGCAGACCCAGCACTGCAGGTTGCAAACGTGCCTCCGCATGGATCACGTTCGCAACCCGAGTGTCCACTGTATATCAAAAGAGAATAAAAAAGGCTCACCTGGGGTTATACAATTAATCCACCAATTAATTCCACCAGTATTGCAACACTCAATTTACAATAGTTCTAGGCTGAGTTGGCTTAAAAAGACGTCCCTTGGAGAACAATACCAAGATCTAGCTAGACCAATATTTTGCATGCCAGGAGTTTCCAAGACTAAGGGTGACTGTGGTGACCTCCCTACTGTCTCCCCGACCCTGTAAGCAACAATAACCCAATAACCCTCCTGCTGGCATACTAGTACAGGGGATCTACTTCACCCAGAGAACCGCTTCTGATAGCTTCTGGAGCTTTGTGTCCCTCCTCCGTCCTGAACCAGCTGCTAATCACAGTCATTTTGGTGATCTTACGGTGATCTACCTACAGGACCGCCTCTCCTGATATGCACCGCGAAGGACCTTAAGGTCCACAAATGACAACACCTTGGATGTCCCAAGTCGCAAGGTGGTTAAATTGGTCTCAACTAGGGCCAGGGCCTTTTCGGCTGTGGCCCCGACTTGGTGGAACGCTCTGTCACAAGAGACTAGGGCCCTGCAGGACTTGACATCTTTCCGCAAGGCCTGCAAGACAGAGCTCCTCCACCTAGTCTTTGGTTTGGACTCAGTCTGACCCTTATGTTTCCCTCCCCTTATGGTCTTGATCTATCGGCTACTTTTGAATGAGGCTGCATTTTAAATTGTATTTTAACCTGTATTTTAAGTTGATTTTTTTTTGTCCTATTATGTTTTTATTGTAATTTTACTGGTGTTAGCCTCCCTGAGCTCAGCTCTGGCCAGGGAGGGCAGGGTATTAATTATAATTATAATTATAATTATTATCTTGCAATAGGAGCAAAACAATCCCTCTCTTTATATCTCAATCATTTGTGATTTAATAAAACACTACTATGCTAACTTCCCTTCTAAACTAAGATGTTCCCCTACAGCCCAGAGCTGTATGCACTTGTGTGTACATGCATGTATCAGTGTATCTTGTGTAGCAATGTGTAAAGAGAGAGAGAATTACAGCAAAGACACAATTCCCACATGTCATTTTTTTCTTCCTTCTTGCTGTATTTATCACGCGGCAAAGACGTGGGATTCCACCCTCAGATTGTTTAGAAAAGCCACGACAGCAACCAAATGTTTCATTTTGTTTCGAAAGTCATCAATTCACAACACCACCTAATTTTCAAACTTAATGCAGTGTGGTTGCTAAACAAGGCAGCGTTTTAAAGGACATGTTTGCAGCCTGTCTCAATTCAAAATGCTGTGAAACAAGATAATAAACAACGGAGGAACAGAATGGGGGGTGCATTATTTTACAGCAGTGAAAACTTGTGCTTTTCTGATATCCATCCTCCAGTTTTTTGAATGCTTTCTGCACCTGTGAAAGACATTGTCATTGTTCTGACTCATTCTCGGGACCCTTTTAGAATTTTGTAAAAAAAATAATAATTGTGGGTTTGGGGCTTTGGTCTTGCGTTATCACTGCAAGTTGGTCAAGCACAGTGTCTGTTTTTCTTCCCGGTGAATGGGCTGGATTTAGATACATTCTTAGGGAAATCAGCACTGAGTGCTCACTGGAAGGAAAGATCCTGAAGCTGAGGCTCCAATACTTTGGCCACCTCATGAGAAGAGAAGACTCCCTAGAAAAGACCCTGATGTTGGGAAAGATGGAGGGTACACGGAGAAGGGGACGACAGAGGACGAGATGGTTGGACAGTGTTCTCTAAGCTACTAACATGAGTTTGACCAAACTGTGGGAGGCAGTGGAAGACAGGAGTGCCTGGCGTGCTCTGGTCCAGGGGGTCACGAAGAGTCGGACACGACTAAACGATTAAACAACAACAACAACAACTGGTCCTGCTAGCAGACACACACACAAGGACTTCTACTAGTGCCTTAGGAACTTCCCCTTCTCCTCCCCCCCATGGTGTCCCCCCTCACCTGCCAAAATGGGCTCTGGGGGTATAGGGAGTGGGAAAAGGGGGAGATGATTCCATTGGGCAAGTAGAAATTCTTGCAGTAATGGAACATTTGTAACAGTGCAACATTGAATCTCTCCCAGTATTTATCCAGCACTGGTTAGATTCCCTGACTACCCACACTTTCTGACCTGAAAAAGTATTATGAGAGGCATTGACTCCTGGCATCTCTCTCTCTCTCTCTCTCTCTCTCTCCCCCCCCCCCCCGGGATTTAACTGAAGTGTGTGAAGCCAGGAAGGCTGCAGGGCACTGAACCAATGATTTGTAGAATCAGTCACCTCAAAAGTAAGCCAAGTCTAGCAAAAAATAAAATAAAAACATACATATCCCCTTTGTGAGACTTTCACTGAGATTCCTCTCCCCTTTGAGACTTTTTGAATGTGGTTTCAGCATAGCACTACAGTGGTACCTCGGGTTACATACACTTCAGGTTCCATACACTTCAGGTTACAGACTCCGCTAACCCAGAAATAGTACCTCGGGTTAAGAACTTTGCTTCAGGATGAGAACAGAAATCGTGGCGGCGTGGCAGCAGCAGGAGGCCCCATTAGCTAAAGTGGTGCTTCAGGATAAGAACAGTTTCAGGTTAAGAACGGACCTTCAGAACGAATTAAGTACTTAACCCGAGGTACCACTGTAGTTGAAAACCTTTTATTTGTTAGCCAAGCTTTTAAATTTGAATTTTGAATTCAAGTGCCAACAAACACTTTGATTTCAAAGGACTTTTAATCTTCAGACATCTGGACACTCTGTTTCACTCTGGGCCAACAAAATTTCCCAGTGCTCGTTTTTCCTAATACACAAAATTTTGATAGCAGCTCCCTGTAATTCAAGACACTTTTGTGTGGTATTTTCACTCATGTATGCATTTCACTGCACATTTCCTCCTATATTATTATTATTATTATTATTATTATTATTATTATTATTATTATTATCTACATATGCTTGGGATGGAGAGCTACATAACAAAATTC